AACTCTCTCTCATATCTTGTTTGATTTATTAGTCTCAATTCCAATTAGATTGTATTATATTGTATTATTTGGCATTCCGATATCATAGTTAGTAAAATAAGTTTACCTCCATAGTTTGTTGCCGCTGTTTTTTTCCTTTTCCCCCTACCTTCCCATTTTGTGGGCCCAGGCGGGGGGTGGGGAAGGCAGGGGCCTACTGCCCCCTGTCACGGGCATTAACTGATCTAGTTAATTCCGTGACACATTTATACAATATTGGAACAGAACTGACAAATTATTTCCACAACCCCGGTTTATTGATAAGCATAGGAAAGAGGATATTATATATATATCAGAATATAGCCAATAGGCAGCTCAGGCTAAATAGGAATGAAAAACTATTGAAACTGAGGTGATATAATGCTCTGCACCTTAGAGGGCTCCCACTTTCAAAAATAGTATCAAATTTCTGCAAAGAGGTGGTGAAAAACTTGAAGTAATAACTTAACTCAGGCTTTGAACTACACTGCTTCTGGATGAGAGTTGTTTCTGGTTTTAGTTCTGTCATGTTCATGATGCCTGAACTAAGTTTCAGTTTTAAAATGCTTGACAAGTAACTTCAAGTCAAGAAATTGAGGGCTGTCTGGGTTACCTGAAGTGAGCAAATTGGATAAGGAAATAAGCGCTCTATGGGAGAATACTTGACACATTTTAAATGGTTCTTCCCCCCCCCGTAAGACTTGATTTTGCGGAGGTAGAAAATTCTGTCTTCACAGTTTACAGATAATCAGTAGTAATTTAAGTTCTGCAGGATGAGTTCTGACCCCAGCTACATCTCCATAAGAAAACTAACTTCCAATATCACTTTGTCAGAAATTTAAATTGACCATTTTATCAATGCTGCACGACAAAACAGGATGTGTTACACTCATATTGGCTCTGCAAGGCAAGCAAGATGAACATAAGACTCTTCACAATTAGACATTACTCTATGAAGTTTACCTGAAGTATACAAAATTGACATAAAATGTAAGCCTAATAGTATTTTTGAAATATTATTGAATTTTACACATAAGGAATATCTGTGTTAAAACATTTCCTTCCGAGTTCTGACATTTAAAAAATAACACGCTGAGCACTTGTTGTATAAGAAAGATTTTATCTATTTTTAAATTTTTCATCATTTAATGGACTGAGAAACTTGAAGAAATGCAATGACTTCCTTTTCTTAGAGTTTAATTTTAGACAAATGAATTCTGAAATAGACATATGTAACAACAAATCTATTCAGTGTATTTGTCAGAATTTTTTTTTTTTATCTCTTGATCATTTTTTCCCGATTTTAATTCGGTTCTACAGTATCCTTTAAGAAATATTATAATTCATTTTTAAATCTTATGTCCTCACCAACTGTTTATAATAATGACCAGATCTCATGACTGGATATAATGAGCCAAGAGTACCTTTAAAGCATATAACAACTGTGAAAGTTTTTCTTAGTTAAATATGAAATAACGCAAACTATTTCAACAGTCAATGTGACTAATAGCTAGATTAAAGTCTCACTGAAATTTCTGACAATCCCCTCTGTTGACAACCATCTGAAACAATTTTACTTCACTTTTTTATTTCCCTGTTCCAGATAATTAACACCATAAGGTAATATTATATGGCAAAGAGAAAATACTGTATCCTGAATGAAGCAAATAATTATTTGCTGTAATGAAGTCTGATTACAAGTTACCTTGGAGATTTTGTACTCATGGTCAAGGCAACATTATTCAATTATATTTTTAAGGAAAAAAAACCAAAAGGGACATTATTCTTCTTTGATAAATATCAGAGGCATCACAATTACATTTTTTATATGTATGTGTTTATAATCACTACTTATTTCTTGGAGGAGAAATTGAAATGCATTAAAAAGCAGGACAACCAAATCTCTCTCTTTTGGAGCCTAAGACAGACCAAGAAACAAAACATGTTTTACAGAAGTTCCATAAGAAGTTTATACAAGCAAAATGCCTTCTCAGGTTAACGCTAACAGGTACTTTCGCTGTAGCCTTACGTAGGTAAAGCAGCTAAGATGTTACTCAGACTGAATTGATTCATTCCACTTTAATCAAGTTTCTTTTCAGTGTTGGCTAACTGAATCTCCATACTTACAAACTAATTATGCTCTTAAGAAGCAGCAAATTCCCTTCCTAACTTAGAAGCACATACAAAAATTATCACACAGCAAAATTTTAAACTACAAGCTTCCTCTCTTCTGTTGAGATCCCTTATTTCAAGTCTAGTAAGTGATAATTTGAGAACCCATCAGAAGTAATTCCCATTTTTCCAGCACCATACCAGGGAAACAGTAGTAGAGGTTGAGTTAAAAATTGAAATAAAGTAGTTATTCTTTTAAAAGAAAATATATTTTTGGCTAAGTAGTTGTCTGGACAGCAAGCTTGTTTTCATATGTTTTAGGCTAGCCAACTTTTCAAAAATAATTAACTAAAAATAGTACAAATTGTAAAAGTAAAATGTTAGTCTTTAGCAATAGAAAATGAATGTCGTACTACTTACATTCAAAAGCTTCTTCACTGTCATTGTCTTCATCAGAACTGATTTCAGCATATTTTGGTTTCTCATTAACTGTACTACGTTTGCGCTTGTTCATTTTCACACGTTCACAAAGTGGCATGGTGGATTCAATTTCTGCCAGTAGCTCAGGAGGCAACTCCTTTAATACTGACTGATCTATGCTACCTATTAATAGAGTAAGAAAAATAAATGTGAACATGAGTTAAAAAAAATAAAAAGAGCAAGCAAAATTTAAAAAGGGGGCCAACAATACAGTCCTTTCTCAGGAACCACTTACAATATATCCACTAACAATTCCATGGTTAGATATACCTGAATGTTTTTAACAGGCCTTTCTAAAGGTGTATATATTGTTCACATTGCAACTGGAAATTAACAAAATAAATTGGTGAACTGCATTATTAAAACAACATCCCTGCTCTACTTCCACAAAAGTCATTTTTTTTTAAATCCTTTTAATTTAACAGGATTCCCAAAAGCGTAGGTAAATTAAGACTCATGCCTCATACCACCTCTGTTTATTCTCAATCATCATTTAGCATACATAATACAATAACCTTCCCTTTTCCAGGAGGTAGGGAGAATCAATCTGTAGCAGAACCTCTAGGTTCTTTTCCCTGAACATAAGTCAGATCTGTCATCCCAAATTCTGCCTCAGATTATTTCTTACCTCATACTGATTGTTTTATAATACAACCCACATTTTCTGCTTGATTTCTCTTTGAAGTGAAGTTGAAAGGTTTTTGTTTCATACAAACAAACAGCAAGCTAAACCATGAGGTTTCCTTTCCACTGAGGTAAACAGACAACATTGCACCATGCATCGTATTACAAAACTAATTTTGTTCATTACTTCATGTGTGGTTTCAAATTTGTAGAATAGCATCAATCTAATCTTTAGAAGGGTCCAAGCTTACTTGAACATTGAATTTGCAAGTCAAGATCTCCCTGATTCCAATAGGTGCACCCATTACCTGTACAGGAAGGAGAAGGAAGCAAGAAAGCAAACAAAACTAGGGAAAACAGATGTATGATTTACATTTTGGTATGATTTCATATTTAATAACTAGCCACATTTTCAGATACATCTGTTGCAGCAAATGAACAACAGTTTGAAGAAAAACTGCCCTTGAAGTTCAATATGTTAATGAAGTCTTTCATAAGTTAACAGAAGTATTAAGTCATTACCATTTTTGTGTGCTAATACTTGGTAATAAGTAAAAATACTGTTAATGAAGTTTCATATTTGCAATCTTTATGTGTTTTTAAAATGCAAGATTATACAACTTTTCCAAATATAAAGGTGTTACAGGGAAGAATATAGAAGGGTCTAAGAGAACAATGCCACTTGTTTGGGGTAGGGACATGGATCCTAGCTTTGTATTTCTCAATGTTCTCAAGTTTAAATTTAGCCACTCCACATTCTGGAACTTCTACAATAAATTCTCAGACACCTTCATTTTGACATTAAAAATGAAAACAAACTATAGCTCAGTTTGTCCTCTCCTCACTCCTTTTTAGCCACATAAGACATTACCTGGCTATGGGACTTTTTACTTTGCTGATATCCAGTCTTGCTGTTATTCCACAGAGACCAAGCTCAGTTTCCTTACACATCCTCTCTTAGCATTTGATAGAGAATGTTGCAGTGCTTTTAAATATGAACTGAGGCTTCTGAGGCTTTGAATTTACCTCTCTTACATATAACCAGCTTGCTGTCTTAATTTTCTCAAATTACTCTGGGTCACTTCTGTAACTACACTGAATAAAACCTCCTGTATCAGACACACACAGAAAGGAAAGTTTTCTGGCTTAGCTCAAACAACTCTCAAGCCAAACAAAACACACTCTATAAGAAAACTGCCTTACTACTTCTTCTTGGATAGCCATGTCATTGTAACTACAATGGCAGAGTCTCTCAGCTTAATTCTATTAGTCACTCATGCAAATAAGTCTATATTTTAGATCTTCATCTAAAAGAAAAAAGAATCAAAGCACTTCCCTACCATACAAAGTAGTCTGAAAAGAAATACCCCTTTAAAATAGTTATGTGCTATTACAAAATAGCTCAAGCACTACAGTGCAAAAATTCACACTACTATCTGTGAGTGATGAACAGCTTGCTTTTAAAACTGAAATATTTCAAATATCCCTTAGTGTGCAAACTTAACAATACCCTTTCCACTGTGACTTCACTTAAAAATTCCCAGTATGCTCTTGTGAATGAGTCCTTGGTGATGCAAGCCCCTCGCCCAGACTTCACACTCCTCCAAACAATTCTATGGCCTTGACAAGTTCAAAAATTCAAGGAAAACCAACAAGGCTATGGCAGTCTTTTCCTACAAGAGCAATTTAAGGAATGGGGAAGATACATCTGCTCATAAGACAGAAGTTCTACTTTTATCTCAATACTGTATCATCAGCTGAAAAACATATAGCCAAGATGAACACTAAAAAAAAAAAATCATTGATGTAGACCACGCACATCAGTGGCTTTCAACATTCCTCTCCCACTCTACCTTAAAGAGCATGGAAGAGTTTACAAATAAATACAAACTCTTGATCAAGCCCATTAACCTCGCTATTTGACTACATTCATGAAGGAATAAAAGGAATAACTCCTGAGATCAAGACACAAGCAGCCAGCACCATCCCCTCCCTCCCCTCCAAGAGGGCAAGACTCACATCACCCCAGCCCAAGGGACTGTCTAGAGGAGTCTCTGCAGCACTGGATTTGGCAGGAAGGAGAGATATAATGCTAAGACGTACGTCCTGTATTATTCCATAAAACCTGCTTGAATGTGTTTCTTTGAAGTAATTTTTCCCTCATCTACCTTAACACTGGCACAAAGGGAGGATTCACAGACTCTGACTAATAAAGAGAGAGATTCTCCCTCCCTGTTTATATTCCAGTCCTCAGCTCTGGCCTTGAGAAACAGGACAAAGCCAGAGAAGAATGTGGACACAGTAACTGAATAAATCCTGTGATGTAGCAGAGGTCATCACTGCCCACAGCTAAGCAGCACAGGTCATAGAATAGATTGGGTTCAAAGGGACCTTTAAGATCATCTAGTTCCAACCCCCTGCTACAGGCAGGGACACCTCCCACTAAACCAAGTTACTCAAGGCCCCACCCAGCCTGGCCTTGAATGCTTCCAGAGAGGGAGCATCCACAACCTCAGCAGGCAACCTGTTCCAGTATCTCACCACCCTCACAGTAAAGAATTTCTTCCTGATATCTAGTCTAAATCTACCCTCTTCCAGTTTAAAACCATTTCCCCTCATCCTGTCACTACCTACCCTTCTAAGAAGTCCCTCCCCAGATTTCCTGTAGGCCCCTTCAGATACTTGAAAAGCCACTATGAGGTCTCCACAGAGGTTTGTTGTCTAGGCTGAAGAGTCCCAACACTCTCAGCTTGTCACAAACTCAAGTGTTGTTATAATAGCACAACACTCTTAGAAAGAAAAAACACATTTTGATGGCAGAAAGATTTTCAGAGAGCACCCTGAAGGATCCAGGCAGAAAGCAAGAAATATAGTGAAAAATACGACCACCAAAAAGTATCAGAACCTACATTATTACATTAGCATCAATGATTACCCTCCAGCTACCCAATAACTGCAGCAACTATACCCATGAGTTACTTTGGTCCATACTGCCACTGACTTAAAGGTAAGTCAATAAAATAAGCCTTAAGAGCTCTAGTTTTGGAAGTTGCTTTACAAGAAGTACAACAGTATTCTGAGTAATATGGAGTAAATCAGCAACTGAAATGCAGTGCTACACAAAGAATCTCTCTTTAAAGAATGAGAGCATCAGAAAATTACTTCTCCAAAACAGGCTTTTACTATCATAGCTTTTGAACATAAGCACTGAAATTTAAGCCAACTCAATTTACTAAAAAGTTAAACTGCTCTACCAGGTGCATAACCATATCAATTTAAAGTGAGCCATGGAGTCTCAATTAAGAAAAACAATATTAATTTAACAAATTATACCCCAGATTTCTTATCATAAAGGAAAAATTCTAATATCAACAATATAATAAACATGTATACAGAGAACATGCAAAACAAAAACCAAGATCTATATCTTATTCATAACAATAGGTACATCAAGATCTGCTTTTACACCTTCTGTTACCACTGAAAATGGTTTCACAACCAAAAAAATATCACGAAGCTCCTCTTACTTCACTTCTTCAAAATAACTTTATTATGTTAACAACAACAGTGAATTGGTGATGTTTTAGCCTTCGATATAAAACGCTACATAAGTATTACCTAAAAGCAAAAGTTACCTTTGTATGGGAACTGCTGAGTCAGGGCCTGAACCTCTGATTAGTCACCTGAGGCAAGCAATGAGTCAGCCCTGGGAGCACAGGTGAAAGCAATTCACCTGTGCTGCAGGAAGGGGTGGAGCCTGGCTCCACCTCTCCTAGAGCCATTTAAGAGCTGACTACCAGTGGGGAAGGATCTCTCTCTTTCTCTTTGGAAGATCCACTCCACTGGAGTTTCCTGAGCGAGCCTATGACTTGGGTAAGCCTCTTATTTATTCTCTTTGTCTTGCTGTGCCTAACTCTCTTGCTTATTTCATTATTATAACATCTTAATATTATTAAATTAATCAATGAAAATTATATAAAGGAATATTATATATACATACCTTAAATAAGGAAAATTTGTGATGAGAACTGAGAACATCAACTCAGTAATTTGAAGAACAAAGAAGACCACATTATTTCTCTAACACAAAGAAAAGTACAAAGAAAAAAAGAGCAACAAGATAGCGGGCTGCAACAAAAAAAACTGAAACAACATAAAAAGGTAAAGAAGCTGCCTACCTTTACAAGACCTTAAACATAAAAAGACAACCAAAAAAATACTTTTGCCTCCACTGCCAATCCTTAAATGAGGTCTGGAAAGGGGTGGATCCTGGCTCCACCCCTTCCAGTCACTCAGGTACATTGCATGCACCTGAGCTCCCACAGGATGGCTCTGCCTTTCTACCAGGTGCTCAATCAGTTTCAAGCCTTGACTTAGCATTTCCACTACACTCCATTGCTCATGGAGTGAACCAGTGATTGAGAAGGTTAAAGGTAAGCCCTTTCAATTATGGTGACCCAGTACACCGCAATACTTGTACAATTTGCCTGTTGTCCATTATAGCATTCAATAAGGCCTGCCTGTCAGATTATA